CGTCTTCTTACGTGTATCTCGGACGTTCGATGAACATGAACGACTGAGGGAAGAGCTCAACAGGAGAAGAAGAGCAGCCTGGGCAGCCTTCAGGCACTGAAGGGAGGCCAACTAACGCACCCGAAGCTTCGGGCGCCGGTTCTATTCAACCGTTTTGTTATGCAGCTGAGACATGGACCGACAACTACAGCTAAGTTGAAAGCTCTACGAACACACACGCGCTTGAGCGCAGTCTTCTGAAAACAAGACACAAGCAGCATCTTGTGAGATTTCGCAGTACGGTCGTGAGCATAATGTCCTGTCTTCTTGATTAGATATGTATGTTGCAAAAGCGAATCACCGATGGGCCGGCCACATTATGGGAAGAGCAGGTGACAGTCAGTTGAACACTGAGAACGGAGTGAATTCGAAGCGAAGCCACAAGGAAGACCTCTAAAAAATGGGCAGAACGTGTGCTTGAAACGGATGAACCAGCTAAACAGCTGCATACGAGTCTCGCAACTGAACCTCGCTGCGACAAGACCAGCAACAAGATCATGGATGTCATGAGAAGACTGGCAACTTCTGCGCGGGGTCTATAAACGTGAAGGGGCCATTTAAGTAACTGAACAATCAACTAAGCGTGATTGAACGGCGAAAATGCTTATTTCTAATACACCTTCTTATCTCACATGTAGGAGCAGCTTCGCACAATTTTCAAAGCATAGATGTGCGCGAGGAATGCAAATCTCATCAAATGATGCCCTAACGCCCAGATTTGAGTTGACCTCAACCTATAAATTGCAAAATTCAGACTACCGAATCGAACATGCTTAAATAGGTAGATGGCAAGTAGGAAGGTGAGTATGAACCCGCGCTAACTGCTGCACTCAATAATGCGCAACGTTTGGGAACGGCCCTTTTTGATAATCTGACATGCTTGCAAGCTGAAAAGCATAAAATTCTGGACATTAAACAAGTTACAAGTTTTTAGCGCTCGAGTTCAGGTTTGCCGCATGGTATGCCATGTCGGACATAGTCAGTCCAATCAGGGATGCTCCTGTCTTCAATCCATGTTTCCCTCGATATAGATCTGAGCTGGACAGCATCTTGCAACGCACCAAACAAGCTTCCTAGATTGGATCGAATCCTTATAATTCTAAAAAATGTTCATAAGGAACCTACCTCCTAACCACGGTAAGTATAACTCAGCACTCTGGTCTGGGAATCGATAAAAGCGAATAGATTCGCACTGCTTCGTTTTACTCGGACTAGACTTCGCTTCTTCTTTCAGCTCAGCCTAAAACACACAAAGTCTTATTTCGCAATGCCAGTGATGAAATTCGGGATAAAAATAATTCGATTGAAGGGTCTTGGTGCTCAAAGTGCTAGAACCAACCTTCAGACGACTGAGGAAACCTGGAATCAATGAAGGTCCTCCCGTGATCAACAAACTTTCAAACATTCTTTTCCGCAGATCTAAGGGACACTGAAATCATCGATCTAACATACAAGTGAGGAGTAAAATATAACTTACCCTTTCAACAATCGAATGGATTAGTTTTGGAAGCGATACATCGTCGCAACCTCGCTCGAAGAAGACCTCACATGCAGCTTCTCTGATTCGAAGCTCATTAGATTTTCGCAAAAACATCCGACAAAATAGTTACCTCACGAAGCCGGGAACTAATAAGAAATCTGAACCAAGTGGTATCTTAACCGACTTGATAGGTGGTAACCCGTGCTCAGCTCCTTCTGCTTGGATAGCTTGACCACGCTCATAAGGACAGCAAAACACGTATCGTACACATATGTCTTCTATGATGTTTGCTTCCTTGAAAAAGTAAACATGTGCAAAAATTTAAGAAAGTAAGTGGTAAGTGCATACCTCTATCAATTTCCAGTTATCCTCTGTCAATTGACAGACTTCATTCCATTTCTCTACGCGGCCAT